CAACATAAAAAAAACTCTACTCAGAAAAATGATCTAACATAGAATACAAAAATCTCAAATATCAAAAGGTGTAATATAACAAGAAGATTTAGTATTAATATAAATTAATCACTGTACTCTCAACATGTAAAGGCAAAACCCCCGGAATTAGTAGGACAAAATTAAAAGATTATTACACTTTTTATTCTCTAACCGCATTTAAACTTGTACACCAACAGATTCTCAGGCAATATAAGAAAGATTTCACGTGTTCATCCAAACTTCTTTACAAAATAATATAAAATCGACTTTGGTGTTTAATATTATTTTTTAAACTAATTAATACCCGATAAACCGGATTCCATTGAGCAATACTGATTCTCTGGTTTATTAGATTATGTGATTTTCACCTTTTCACCATATCGCTCGATTTTGCAACAGCTTCTGAAATTGAAAATATGCACTATCATAGACGAATTATTAACCTGGAAATTTTTCTCCAAAGAGTATTTTCCTATGATTTCTGTCAGCAAGACTCTTGCTTATCGGTATTATAACTTTATTGGTTTTTAACAACTCTTTTTGTTTTTAACAAACTGATCCAAGTCATTTAAATTTACAAGCAACTAGACTTCTGTGCTTATGCATTATTAATCATAGTTGGTGAAACTATTCCATGGCACAACTATCAATTTCAAAATCAAAAAATTCATTTTGTGAAAATCCATACTACAGATTTTAACTTTGCGCCTAACACCAATAATGTAGACAACACGAAAATCTTAGATATATCGTTTAGTCTTCATGTAGTATACTGTTTATCTGACTGACTGGTTGATGGTCAACGCACAGCCCAAACCGTACGAGCTAGGAAGCTGTCATTATGTGCCACTTGGCTAGAAATTATGACTGAAAGGTTGTATCGACGAAATTAAGAATTCAGACTCATTTAAAAAGATGTTAAGGAAAGTTCATTCACACTTTTCGGAAAATGCGACCTGCCTATGCCGAAAATGGAGGTCAAAGTTTATTGGCGATAATTTCGTCTGCTCGGCATCAAAATTATTTTCCAATTTCAATTTGGTCCAGCGATTTTTTAAATTCCATCCGTAATTGCGAATGGTGTATGCAAGTTATTTGTTAACCAGCTGATCATACTTTTAAGAAACCTCTTTATTCATTCAAGGCATGTTTCATGTTTCGCAAAATGAAAAATGAAGATCAGAAGTTCTACGAACTATAGTCTATTTTGGCTTCAAACTTATCACCTCGACTTTTTCATTTTATAATACCATCACTAAATGTATATATAACTTTTGTGTTTCTTAACCGATCTTAATGAAACTTTCGACAGTACATCTTATTGTGCCATAGAATATTTGTGTATTCTTAAAAAGTCAATTGCATATAATTTGTGGCTTAATGGTAAGCTACACAAGTTGAATTATTAACTTGATTTATAGCTTTGTGGTGACCGGGGAGGTGGCGATAGGTATAAAATGAAAGATACTTGATATATATGTATATACTACACGTCAAGTTTGGTGACTCTAGCTCATATTATTTACCAAATTTTGTTTAAAAAACAGGATTTCCATATCGGTTTTTATCGATTACTTGGCAACGGGGCAAGTTATCGAATATCGGAAACAAACTCGATCTGCGCGGGCACTAGGAGGACCTACAGCTAAATTTCAAGTCTTTAGGTCTTATAGGTTCTGAGATCCTTGCGTTCATACATACGGACAGACGGACAAGGCTAGATCGACTCGGCTATTGATGCTGATCAAGAATATATATACTTTTTGGGGTCGGAGATGCTTCCTTCTGCTTGTTACATACATTTGCACAAATACATTATACCCTTTTACCCATTATAATGGGTTCAGGGTATAAAAAAACAACTTAGTTTTAACTTGAAGTTAGGTATGTATATGCACACAATTCTGTGTCAATTAGAACCTAACCACCAAAGCTATTCATTCCATGTTCTCCTCAGTTAACCGAACGAGTAGATTTTCCAAGAAGAGTGAATGATAAATGACCAAATTTTGAATGAGAAATTTAATAAATTTTAAGTAGATATTGAAAAATGACAGATCGGATGTAAATCGAAGATTCATTTTATGTTTGTGGGGACTTCAAAAAATGAAAAATTAAGCTAATCGTATGGTAAACAAAAATTTCATTACCGTTTTGTGTGTGTCCAAATTTGGGATTTCCACAAATTGCTAAAAGCATGCTCATCAAGTATATATTTATATATATTATCGGATGGTAAACAGCCGGTATAAAATAAATTTTATGATTTTGACACTGATCGGGCGGAAAACAAACAACTTTCATACAGACGTTTTCCGCTAATTTAACACTGTTGCGGGTGAAATTTTCCAAATCGCTGAAACACGATTGCATTAAGTTCTTATGTAAAGCTTTAAAAAAAAGTTTGAAGCAAATCGGACAAAACTTAAAACTTCGCCAACAACAAATTAAGGTGCACGTTAAGACGGGGTTCCATTTTCAAAGATCTTTGTTCAAATTCATTTGATCGGTGTTTCACACTTTTCGAAAAATGCATTCCTTCTTGGTGGAAATGGGAGTCAAGAATTTGGTGGGTGACGTTTCGAGTTCAAATTTATTTCCTATCGTGTTTATGGCGGAGTTCAAGCTTGCTCGGTAGAAATGCGATTCAAAGATTTTTTGGGTGAAGTTTTAAGTTTTGTCCGATTTGCATCAAACTCTATTCCAAATTTCTAAATTCTAGCTTCAATACATCAGAAAAAAATTTGTTTATACGGATTTTCGATTTTACACATTTGTGCTGAAATGTTAATATGTTACCTTTTTATGAAAAAGTAATTTTGAATTTTTGATTACATTTTACAATTTTAAATTTTATAGATTTTACAATTTTTGTCAGAAATGTAAAATATTTGTAATCATTTTACCCAAACAAATTTTTTAAAAATGTGTTAAATTTAAAATACTTTAACAGTAGTATACAATGAAGACAGACCGACATGCGGATTTATTGACTCAGTGTATAATACTTGTAAAGAAATTGTATACATTGGGGGGATCGGGGACGTCTCCTTTTTTGCTAAACATAACTGAAATAAATAATTCAATTAAAGAAATTAAAATTGCCTTAAACATATTATTTTTATTCAAATTAAAATAATAATCTATGGATCCATAGCACATTATTTATATTTTTCATCTCGCCAATCACTCTGTTGGTTTTAGTAAATGTTTTTTTGAAATAATACTTTTTTGTTACAAGAAATTTCAAATTCTACCCCATACATTTACATGGACCAATCAAATCAGACATTTATTTTGAACAAATAGGAAGCAAGCAAGGTGGATGCTTCAAATTCGAGCACTATATTGCTATCCTCTTTTAATTTGTATAAGAATGCACATAGAGCTGCTCTGCTAGGTAGGTTTATCCATCTCACTCGCCCACTGTTTCTTTCTCTGTCTATATCTTTTGCTCTGAGAGCAATAATTGGCAAACGCTCTCCCTAACACAACTTTTGTTGTATACTTCAACTCTTGGTCATAGCTCTTTTTTTTCCTTTTTTATACCCTGTACCCAATTAAATTTTTGTAACAGGCCGAATGTGGTATGTCCGACCCCATAAAGTATATATGTATATTTGTGATCAGGACGATGAGCTAAGTCGACAGGGCCATGCTCGTCTGTATGAACGCGTCGATAACGTCAACTACAACGAGACTTGAAATTTGAGATATGTATTCTTTTATATCATATTCAAAAGATCTATGGTATGTAGGTATAATATATACAAGTTAGGAATATTTAATTTTTTGAATGCCTCCCCCCATTGCCCTTGCATGGAATATATTTAAAGTTAGATCCCTGGGATTTTGTATATATACACATTTGAAGGACATATTTATAACCATGAAGATCGGACAACCGCATAGAATAGGCGGAAGAAGCAGCGCCGCCCCAAATACCAAAGAAAATCAAGAACGAAATTCCTAGTTCAGGGTGTCTGCTTGTCGACTAAAGAACTATTGTTGTTTTTATACCCTTGTTTTTGCTTACTTTTGGATGATGAGCACCTTGTTATCTCAATGAACTCTCAAATTAACAAGCAATTGATTTTGTATGTAAAAAGATCTATGCATTATCCGTATATATGTTCATATATTATTGATATTCTATATTTATTTTTTGTTAATATATACATAAATATATTTTCTTTAGGTGTGTCTTATCGATGAAAATCGTTTAACTGAAATTTTTAAAACATCAGTTACCATGCATGCATGTACCAATATTGATATTTATATATATCTATATATATATATATATGTATATATACGATATACGTAATTTTGCACTGACATTCATACAGAAAAAAGTGTTTTATTGTATTGGTTAAGTGACCTGCAGTAAAGTCAATCTTGGTACAAACCATCTAAATTAACTAACATGATTATGAAAACGTAAAATCAGTAAATCGCTAAAGTGGATGTAATTTTCTTTTTCAACACCTCGCGCTCACATTGGGTCGACAGCTGCCGGGCGGCTTGTCTTTTGTCGATTTTGTATTCGTTTATTGTAGTCGCTAAGCCATGCCTGTAGACACTCCCCACTGCTATATTCGTCTTGTTTGCCATAGTAGTGGCGTAGTGTGGTCTGGCTAAACTGGTTTGGTTCGTTTAGCAAATCTCTTACTCTTTTCTCGGCTCTCTCCTTTGAAGTTTTGCCGTTTTAGAGGGATGATACATTGGCATGGCGGTGATTGGGAGAGAGCACGGGGGCAATGATGTGAGTGATTATATTTTGATTGCATTGCTCACTGTGGTTGGTTGTACTGCATTGCTCACTTAGTACAATAACCGACACGCCGTCTGTTGGTCTGCTGTAAGAGTGATTTTGTTTTATGTGAGTCGGGTTCTTCGTTTGTTTTGCTTCGGGTCTGTCGTTATCTTCGCTTCAAACTCATTGCAAAGTAGCCACTGCAACTCACGTATTCGTATTCAGCTTTAGATGGTAATTCGCCAGACCGGTCAAAACTTGGAGAGCGCGCTTACATTTCGTGTTGTTGCTTTTGCTAAAGCTTATCAGAAGAGTAGTATTTGTGCGGCGATTATTAACGTGAGCTCGTGCAGTTATTTTACCGTCGCTGATACCGTCGCCTTTGATATGTCGAATCAGGCTATTTACATAAAAATAAGCTTCGCAACAAAGATAATGTCTCTAATAAACACTCGTTCAATATTAAGTATTTTGTGTTTACCAGTTAAAAATTAGTTATATTATAAAAATGCCGTTTATCATGATATGATATTGAATATTTAAAAACACATTTAATACTGGCACAGACGTTTAATTCATTAATAACGCAAGACTTCCAGTATTCAAATAATGCCTAGGCCTTCACGTGAATCCTACGGTGATCAGAAGCCTCCATATTCATATATATCGCTGACAGCAATGGCTATTTGGAGCTCAACAGAAAAAATGTTACCATTAAGCGATATATATAAATTTATAACCGACAGGTTTCCATACTATCGAAAAAATACCCAACGATGGCAGAACTCACTAAGACACAATTTAAGTTTCAACGATTGTTTCATTAAAGTACCGCGACGCCCAGACAGACCCGGAAAGGGGGCCTATTGGGCTCTTCACCCACAAGCCTTTGACATGTTTGAGAATGGAAGTTTGTTACGACGAAGAAAGCGATTTAAGTTACATAAGAATGATAAAAATTTACTCAATGAAGAGTTGACAGCACTAGCGAACATTAATCGGTTTTTCTTCACTGCCCGATCTGGGAGTACCATTTCCCAAATGCCCACGCTGGACCTAAGCAATACAACTATGAATGTGGAGTCTTCCGTTGTTTTATCACACTCTTCAAATCGTTTATCACCAGCTATGGCACAACATTGCCCTTTACCGCATGGACATATTGCAACATTATCACAATCTAGGCACACTCCTTTAAATAACGGCGAAACTACTCATTCGACCGAAATAACCATGAGCAATCAGCGCTCGCCGACAAATTTCGAACTTGAAGGCATCAATAGTTATCGACCAAAACGATTATTCACAATAGAAAGCCTTATTACTCCTGATAAGCCTGAGCAACTCTCAGAGGATGAAGATGTTGACGATGATCGCACTGATATCGATGTTGTAGAATGCGGAAACTCTTACACTAAAATAACTGATTATCCACGAAAATCTGATGAATGTCTGCCAATTGCTATGCCTACTCGTTATGAGGATCAACGCCAACGCCCACTACCTCCACTACATACAATAACAGCTTCTGCTCATCTACCATTTCTTCATTATGCCGCTGGTGTCAACGTATCTGGTCTAAGTTCTAATAGCATACAGTCTTCAGGAATTCCCACAATGACGTATGATTTAGCTCTGGCCCATCCGCTTTTAATGATGTCAGCACCAATTGGAAATATAAACAGCAGTTATTGTAACAATTTTTCAATTATACCACCGCCACAAGCATACCGAGGTCCGGAAGCTCAAAATAGAGTAAGCTCTGGTATGCGAACGATATAAAAATTATTCCTTAGAATGATTCCTATTCCTAGTGAAAAAATAAAAAAATCTATCCAATGCTGTTAATGTATATACAATTAGTTCCTTTTGAAATAAGGGTTATGAATTAAAGCTTAACATATAGACCATATTTAAAAATTTATAAATTCTCAAATTCTATTTAAGGATGTATGACGCCCACGATGAGTAAATGAACAATATATATAAATTGAAAATATAAATATTTTTAAAACAATTTTAATTTCATTTTTAATGTCATCTTTTATAAGTCTGTATATGTACTAGTAAATTCATGTTTCATAGTAGTATTAATAAATGTATATACATAGGACGATAAAATATTTTGAATAAATACGTAATGCAATGAAAAGTCCAAAAATATTCGCTTTATTAGTACGTATGCATGCAAAATTAGATACAAGACAAGCTTGTCAAACTCAAACAAAAAATTAAAGAAACAAATACAAAATATTAGCTTAGGTAAACAGTATAAGTAAAAAGTATTAAAAAGAAACGAGGATAAACGCTTTAGTCGAGTGACCCATTTGGTAGATACAGTGTACCCAACCCGAAGTGTCGTAACTTGCATTTGATTGAGTGCAACCGACAGCGCCCTTCTTGTTCACAGCCGAATAACACGTTAAAACTGGCTACGAGCTAGCCTTTTTATGCTATACCAAATTCTTTGATGCATAGTAGGCGTAAGAAAAGTATTTTTGGGTCAATCTTCATCAACAACCTGCATTATATTATTCTAAATTGATCATTCTAGCTCTAAGGATGCAGAATAAAAATGTTTTCTATATGCATGGTCGTAGCCATGTAATCTTAAGACATTATCTAACACGGCTATACAAAGAGTATATATTCTAAATTAAAAGACTAGCTTTAATTGCGTCAGAAACAATTCCTATGGACGGCCGGCTGGCGGACAAGGCTAAAAAGTAATATACTCTTTTCCCATTATAAATGAGTCTAAGAGCACATATACGCACGGCACTATTCGTGAAATTGGAGTGACTGGGTTTCTTCCTTTCCGAATGCAACACTATATAATTTCCTAATTAAGATCAGTGCTTAAAGTAAGATCCTTATAAGATTAAATAAGGTATTCAAATTGCAAAACTCAAACAAAAGTTAAATTTAGGATAGACCTGGGAAAGGAATCCAAAATACGAAATGCATCTGAGAATGATATTTAATGACCGAAATACCGAATCCGGTGCTGTATGCTCTTATTAACTATAATATGTGCTCAAAACACCTAGGGTGAAAGTCATTAATTATATGGGGAAGCTGAATAAATTCACGCATACAATTTTGTGACATTATTTACTAAACACCCGCATGGTGGACATACAGAAGAAAATGCTAGATGAACACGCCAGCTGACCAAGAATATGTATACTTTGTGAAGGACAGTATATATTATAGATCCCTGCACCCGGCACAGAGCAGCCGTCACAAACATTATTGCACACACGTCGTATGCCGATCAGTTTACGCTACGACTGCACAATGTTTATTGTCCGATCTTTATTGAAATTTTAGGGCAATAATATGGAATCGAAATGTGTAAATAGTAAAAGGCCTAGGCGATACCTCTAAAAATACAATTAAAATTATGTATTTATAGTTTTAAGAACACTTGATTATAAAGAGAAGAAAATTAATTTATCTATATAAATATAATAAATAATTTTAAGATAGAATAATTTCCCCAGCAGTTTAAAGAACTTATAAAACAATTTTTTCAATTAATCAAAAAAATTCTTTATTTCCTGTAATGTTTATAATAAATAAAAAGCAATTATATTGAAATCCTAAAGTTACTGGTCAGATAATATTCCTAATTGTTTTAAAACATCCTATAAAATGTATCGAAATTACCGGGGTTCCTTGACATAGTAAATGAGCTAATATACGTGAAGAGTAGGTCATCTTTAAATTAAAAAGATAATCATAATGGTGAATATAAATATTGGTTCTCCTAAAAATGCAGGAAAATAAAATTATTAAATTATTTAAAAGAATTTAAAAAAAAAAACCAAAAAAGTGACCGACTAATCCAGACTATGTAGGCCTGTTCAAGCTTTAGCCAAGAAATACACGTGTAACCTATTCGTCGGAAAATGGATATAACTACAATTATTAAATATTAAACAAGTAATAGTGCTCTAGTCTGGAGTACCCGACTCGTTGATACCCTGAACCTTCTTTTACTAATATCAAATGCAGCACGCGCTACGTGCTTGTTTGCCCTAACATTTATAAAAGTAATTTAAATAAAATAATATCTCCCTGTGCCGGACTCTAACTCGCTCATAAGCACATACGCACGCCATATAATAGATTATCAATTGCGATTTTATTTATTGAATTAAATTAAGACACGCATATTAATGTATGCGTATACATGTAAACAGAAATTCTTGGAATATTATTACCACACATTTTATTTAATAGCTTCTGAGTTTTTTAAATGATCTTCACGAACTTTTCAACTGTAGGTCCCATTGTGCTATATAATATTCATATATTCGTAAATTGTTAAAAAGACACTCGTATTAACATTGTGGATTTTATTGGTGGGTAGTTCTGATTGATTTATCTATTTAATTTATAGCTATGGGGTGGCATTAGGTGGCGACAGCTATAAAATGAAAAATAATTGATGTCTAAGAGATTTGCCCAAAAAACAGTATTTCGATATAAATATCATTCAAAATTTCAAGTCTTTAGCTCTTACAGGTTGTAAGACCGATGAGTTCATACACACGGACAGACGGACATGTCTATATCAACTCGGCAAGTAGCTTCTAGAATTTTGTATATATGAAGTATCTTTTATTTTATAGCTATCGCCAGCCCCCGCCTCCACCCCATAGCTATAAATCAAATCGAGTATACGAATATTCTATAGCACAATAAGATCTACTGCTGAAAATTTCATAAAGATCAGTTAAGAAACACAGAAGTTAGCGCAAATTGCAAGAAATTCTTTATACATGTATAAACACACAAACATTCATGCGCGTATTTACTAAATTCTATCAACAGCATTCTAATTGCGATTGTATTGTATTCTATGCTATTGTTATTATGGCTGTCGAGTAGAGGCGGTAGTAAGTAGTAAGCGCGGTCTGTTATGGGTTCGAGTCTTATTGAGGGAACTATTTTGTTTGCTTACATTTATTTGCATTATGCTGCATTTGGTGTTGGTATAAGATAGTTCAGGGTATCCCATAGACGGTAATTCCCGACTCGAACCTCTTGTTTAAAAATGTATTTCTAATAATGCTAGTAAGGCATAACTCATTAAATTAGCAAAAACAAGTAAGAGGTTCTAGTCGGAAGCTCCCGACTAGGGGATACCCTGAACCCTCTTATTTCATATATACACCAAATGCAGCTCGTTTGCTTTATTAGTAATAAAAATAAATTTAAAAAAAAAAAGGTCCCTTGGCAGAGTTTGTACTCGCAACTGACCGCATTACTTGCTGCCGCCTTTACGCAACAGCCACACCAGCCAAAAAAAAAATAATAGTTTCCTCGGCAGGGTTCGAACTCGTAACTGACCGCACTACTTTCCGCCACCTCTACTCAATAGCCACACCAATAATTAAGTCTTAATGAGAAAAAAGCGAATTAAAAATAGGAGCACAGAAAACAATGCAATCGCAATGGCAATGATGTTGATAAAATTCAAAGCAGACGCGCATGAATGTGTGTGTGTACATGTATACAGAAATTCTTGGAATTTGCGCTTGCTGCTGCACGTGTTTGCAGGCCAAAACACATTTTCTTTCATGTTTCTTAACCGATCTTGATGAAATTTTCAGTAGCATATCTTATTATACTATAAAATATTTATGTATTCTCAAAATGACAATTGCATTTAAATTATGGCTTAATTAGGTAGACAATACAAGTTGGTTTACTAACATGATTTATAGGTAAGTGGTGGTAGCGGGGAGGTGGGGATAGCTATAAAATGAAAGATACTTCATATATATATACTATTCTAGAAGCTACATGTCAAGTTTGGCGACTGTAGCTCATATTATTTACCAAAATTGCTCAAAACCGGATTTCAATATCGATTTTTATCGATTACTTGGAAACGGGGCAAGTTATCGATTATCGGAAACAAACTCGATCTGCGCGGGCACTAGGAGGACCAACAGCTAAATTTCATGTCTCTAGGTCTTATAGGTACATACGAACGGACGGACGGACGGACGGACGGACAGACGGACATGGCTAGATCGACTCGGCTATTGATGCTGATCAAGAATATACATACTTTATAGAGTCGGAGATGCTTCCTTCTGCCTGTTACATACATTTGCACAAATACATTATACCCCTTTTACCCATTTTCAATGGGTTCAGGGTATAAATAGTGTTAAGCTTGTCAATAAGGTTCAAGATGTTCCCTAGACGGGCACTCCCGACTAGAAACCTATTACTTGTTTTTTTTTTATATACTGAGCCCATTGAAAATAGGTAAAATGGTTTTGTGCAAATGTATGTAGCGAACAAAAGCAAGCATCTCGGAACCCATCAAGCATATATATTCTTGATCAGAATTAAAAACCGAGTCGTTCTAGGCAAAGACAGTATAAACACTAAGATGAGTAACGCTCATACATTTGAATACGACGCGAAATTTCTAGCCTGGATTTTCATCTGGCTTTTCGCTCTTACAACGACACCCCAACCGAGTGGCTTTTCGCTAGCCAAAAGCTAGGCGAAACAAAGTCTCGGCTTGCTGATGCTGACAAGAGCAACGAATTCAGTCGCCAGCCTGCCTTCAGAAGAACTGGTCGATGGTGCTTTGCGTCGTTTCGGTTTCGAAGTAATTTGAGCGAAAAAGTTTTGTACTTATGAACGACGTTTAGTACTTTTGCTTAATTCATGATATGCACGCTAGATATTATTGCTAAATTGTAAAGATCAATTTAGGAATAATAATTTTTTATCACATAGCGCACCTTTTTCCATAACTTACTCATACAATAGCCCACGATAATTAACTTTACTTTTATTTTTGCGAATTATTATTTGTGAATTATACATGCATGAGTACATCAAAATAAGTAGATATGT